TGCCAATCGCCTTCCTCCCCCGAGCGACCAATCTGCGCCCTCCTTCCTTGAATCAGCCAGAGGGCGCCTGCGCAGTAGTGAGGGGCGTGCTACCCTCGGCGGGGAGTTTGAGGGTTTCCCTTTGGAGTCTCGTCTTCCTCCCCCCCCGCCCCCCCCCCCCCCACGCCGGCCGCGGGTGGGGGCTCTCCTGGGGCTTCCACTGTCCCCCTCCCTCCCCCCCATCCGGGGTCTTTCTTTGGCAGGGCGGAGGGGGAGCTGGGGGGCTCCGGACAGGCTCCCCCCACGTGCTCCAGGCAGCCCCTCCCGCGTCTCTTCGGAGCTTCTGCCCCTCCCCCTCTCCTCTGCGCCCCCCCCGGAGCCCCTCCTCGCACTGGGGGGGGAAAGGGGGGCGATGGAGTCTCAGGCCGGGCTGGATTTGGAGGATTTCTGTTCTAATCTTTTCTCTTTGGAAACGTTTTTCTCCCCCCCCCCCGTTCTGCCCAGCCAGAGAGGGAGGGGGGAGGGGGGGAGGAGGAGGGAGGGGAGACGGGGCCAGAAACGCCCCCAGGACCATTGAGGGTCTCCAGCCTTGGGGGCTCTAAGGCTTCTGGACTTCAACTCCCAGAATTCCTCCGCCAGCCACACTCTTGCCAAGGTTGGGGACCTCTGACCTCGGCTGCTTCGGACTGGGATAGGACGCCTTGTGACCTCTAAGGCTCCTCCCCCTTTTAGGCAGCCTGCCCACCCCCAGACAGCAGTCATGGGAGGGGGAGGGAAGGCGGGGGGAGGAGACGCCGGGGTGCAAGAGGGTCACCTGCACTCTTAATATCCTGGTTAGGCTACTTTTTAACTTCTGCAAAACAAGGAGGTTTTTTTTTCTTCTCAAGGCCATTTTTTGGAATGGGAGAACCTGTCTGGGAAAGACTAAGGTAACCCATAAATTGGCCCCTTGTGGAATGTTATCTAGACTCCACGTTTTCTGCTGTTCAAGTCTCACATGTCATCAAGGTCTTTTATTGTTTGATCTTTGGTTTACTGAAGTGTCACATATACTAAATATATCATTTCTTCTGTATCCTATAGAAATACTTGATTCCCCCTTAATAAATGCTCTTTTCTTTCTCTGAGTTATTTTGAAATTCGTACTTTTGAGTGGGGAAATAAGCCCCTTTGCAAAGGTCAAAATTTCTTTCAAGTTCAGGGATCAAATTCTTATCAGCTCAAGCCAAACGTGCAATGCCTGAGCTTGGAGGCCACAAATACACACCATCAGCACCCAGTTGTCCAGAAAGAAGTGGAGATTATTCTTATATCAACCTATTTTTTATGGGCAAGCCTTCCCCCAGTTTGTACCTTTCCTCCATTTGTTCCTTTCTCCCCTGGGAGCATGACTCCGAGTTCAAGAACCTCTGCCTAAGAGAGTTTTGCATCCTTAATTTCACCTTTGGGTGTTCTCCTTTCTGTTGGCCTCTTAGCCTTCAGCCAGCTTGTCCTTGGTGTGACACACCCTTGACTGGCAAGATCCAGCTGAGCTGGGATAGGATGGCAAAGGAGGCCCGTCATCTCCTGGGGAATCCTGAGGGCTTTGTGACCTCATCATCCCTGCAGGCTGAACTGTCAGTTATGTCAGTTATGTCAGTTATCAGAGGGAAGGGGGCTGCTAAGTGGTGAGTTAGTGTTCAGAAGGGCTCCTGGACTCTGGGCAGCCTTCCCGAGTCAGATCAGGGGGAGAGGTAGGGAGGGGGGGAACAGGAGAGGAATGGGACAGAGGGAGCAGGGGGTGGAATAGGCAGGGAGAAGGGGAGAGGAAAGAAGGGGGGGGAAAGGTGGAGATGGGGAAAGGGGAGAACGGAAGAAGGATGGAGGGGGTGAATAGGATGAAGAGAGTGGGAAGCGGTTTAGGGAGGAGGAGATGACCATGAGGCATGTGGGGAGAGGAAAGGAAAGGGGAGAGGGACGGACTGAGGTGGACAGGGTGGGGAAGGAAAAAGGGAGAGTGGGGAAGAAGGGCAGCAGAGGGGGAGGGGAGGAGGTGGAGTGGGATGGGAACAAGGGGAGGGATAAAGATTAAGAGAAAGGGGAGTGAAGGTGATGGGTTAAAGGAGCAAGCGGAGGGGGAGATAGATCATTAGAGGGTTGGGGAGAGGAAGGGATTGGAAGGGAGTGAGGATGGGAAGCGAAAGGGGAAAGGAGGGGAAGAGGGAGGGGGCAGTGATGGGAAGAAGGGAGGATGGGGGGAAATGCAGGGAAAGGGGGAGAGAAGGGAGGGGGAAGGGGACAAGGAGGGAGGGAGGTGGATGGGACGGGGTGAAGAAGGGAAGGTGAGAATGATGGGAGAGAGGGGTGGGATGTGGATGGGAAGAGTGAGGGGAAGGGGAGGAAACATGGAGAGGGGGCGAGGGGAAAAAGCAGGCGCGGAATAGGAATGGGGAGACATTAGGGGGCATCAGGGGGGTTGAGGGTGTGTAGGAAGGGGGAGGGACATTGACGGGGAGGGCAAGGGGAGGATGTGGATGGTTAGGGTGGGGCATGGGAGATGGACCAGGAGGAAATCACTGGTAGAAGGGGGACAGTGAGGGAGGGGGAGAGGGAGGGGGAGGTCAGAGAGAGGAGAGGGTGTCATTGGGTAGGGGACAGTAAGGAATGAGGGTGAGGAGGATGGGGAGATAGACTCTGTGTCAACTTTCAAAGCAGGTTTTTTTTCCTGCTGCAACATTTTTTGCTTCTCCACTTGCCAATGAACTGGGGAGGGGGATTCAGTTTCGAATGCAGATTGAAAGATGGTCTTGGGATGCTGGCACAAACAGGACCTGGATGCTCTGG